CAAGAAGGTTTCTTCCCCAAACATACCTGAGGATTCAAATGATGGATGCTACTTGCCATGAATTATCTATTGTTGGTCTGCTTGTACTGCCTGAGAATGCAAGTCCAGATTGAGGTTTTGGAGGAAAATAGGGAAGGGCCATGTGTTGAGACCCTACACTTTTTTGCCCAAAACATTTAGGGTAGCGGTTTTTTTGCGCACCAATTTGTGTAGTGTTAGCAAAGAAAGTGAGCAGCTTTTTGCTACACTACGCTGCTCTACGGGCCACTAACGGCTGAAACCGGGGCAAAATGCTAATAATCAATGCATTAGTGCAGCATAGCGGGCACTTTCTAAGGGCCTGCACGTCAAACTCAAGTTCAGTTCAGATTATGGCCTGAGAATTTGCATGTAAACTGCCCCCAGTTGCTACAATTCTTCTTTCAGTTTAAGTTGCCAAAAATTCTGATTTAGCCCAACAAATTTTAATTCTCTGATTTTGAGGGATTCATTACTGGAGATTTTCAAAATCCCTTGTTTTTGTCCTCCCTATTTATACTCAGTTTGATAAATGCAACCTACCACTCAATAGTGTAACTGAATATTGTGTGCTTTGTCCTACTCACTAACTGCCCAAGACATCAGACACTTGTTCAATCCCCCTTGTGCAAAAAACCTGATTCCCGCCCATGAATCTCTCAGAAAGCACTCTGAAGCTGTCCTTGGTTGTGCTCATTGCAATTGCCCATGCCCAAAAATATCCTACCTGCCCAGATACTGAATCTTGTGGAGGGACAGGCCTTACAATGACAGAGTATGAGTGTAACAGATCGTCACTCCCACCTCAAGACAAATGTGGCTGAGTATCTTCATCTAGAACAGAGAGCTGCAGCAAAACATGCTTCAAATCATACCACCGCTGTATGTCTTGCCAGAGAATATTTGCCATAAACAAAAGCTTCAAGGATATGAACAAGCAACCATGCAATCACAGTGTGAAAGACTTTGTGAAACCACCCTCCGGTCCCAGCCCTGGTCCCTCTGAGCCCGACACTCGCAAACCCTTTCTTCACTCATTCTTCCCAACTAAGCCTGAGTAACCCACTATAAACCTGTTATTTCCAATTCAATAACACTTTGCCAATAAAAACAATATCTTGACAAAGTCTAAAATAACCCGGGGCGCAATATTTTTTTTTTGCCTTAACTTGAGCCATTTTTGAAAACATAATATCACCATATAATTCTACCTTTGAATATACCTGGGTTCAATCCAATAAAATCATTCAAGAGATCCACTGGGCTTATAAAGATACTTAAATCTAATCAATTGTTAAGTTTTAATCTGGGTTGCCATGTTGATGTGCATGATCAGTAGCATTTGGGCAAGATGAGCATAGGGTAAAGCACAACATTGGTTATCCTGCCTGGTGGAATTGGACATGAATTGCAAGAACTTGCAAGCAGACTGGTTGCAATACACCAGGAAAGCTGCCTAGGGGGACTTCAACAGGTATAAAATGAATCCCTTCAGTTCCATTTTGTGGTGTTTCCTCCCATTGCTTGAACTGATTTGATGGCACAAATCAGCATCAGTGACCTAACCTATTTAACGGCATGGCAGCCTAACAAACATTAACTTCATGCAATTGCATGATGAATTCAGATGAGTGGCAACCTCTGATGATGAAGTCAATTGCAAAATATTTGGCTTGAAAGCCTCAATAATTGTCTTAAGTGTGCTTGATTTAAATGTAATGACTGGATGGGTAGCAACCTCATCCTAGTCCCATGGGTCCTGGCAGCTTTGCTGCCAGAGGCTTGGCCCAGGCCTTTGGCAATACAAACCTGCTTAGCAGGGAACATTGCAGAACCAGGAACCCAGGTCAACTGGAAAACAAAGGTTTTAAATTGCGGACATTTTCTACTGGTCTACATTGAGCTCTCAAAGTTTTGTACTTAGCCCTATCACCCTTATGTTCCCATCAAAACCACAACGGCTGCCCCATTTCCCCATTTACCTGTCCCTTTATTCAATGAAGTGCCCTGCTACTATTCAAAGTCACCTTGAGTACCCTTATGTTGCTGACATCTTCAATGTAGTTCCACTCCCATTCACTCAGGGAGTGGCCGCCTCAGACACCTCATCTGCAATACCAAATGCATTAGCCTTAGTACGATGCATGGGTGGCACTCCCTTCTTCTTTCTC